GAAAATAGGTGACAGCGATTTATTATAATGATCCTGAAGTCTTTGTTAAGCTTCTTTCTATTATTTTGTTCAGTAGACGTATGTGCTCATTAATATCTAAAAAMCCCAATGATAAGATTTTAGTCTAGTCACCCGCTTTTTCCATCTTATCTTCTTGTACTTCTTCTTTTTCTGTTTTTCCTTTTGCTGCAAGTGTTGTAATCCTTATTTAGCTTCGYTTGTGTTTTTTTTCTATTTGCTGGAGTACATATTATCTGATTTTTTGATTGTTATCGCTTGTATTTGTGGAGAATGAATATGTGTTGGGTATGCGAGTATTTGTAGCTGTCTCTGTTTTCAACATATACATGCCCTCGTAGTGGAGTGCAGCATCGAACCRCTTATCAAAGATCATAGTTTTGACTCGTAACATAATCATCAATATAATTTGACAAAAGTTCAGGCAGTCAAATTTAAAAAGAAGCATTTTTATCATAGGCAAAAAAGACAATTTTGACTTCAAGTTAATGTTTTTTTAAATGCAATTTCGTTAAATTTTGATCGTAATTGGAAAATCTAAAAAACAACATCTGGCATGTTTCTGATGAAAATACCTTTTCTTCATGAATTTGAATTGCTGTTTGCCTAAAAGTCAATTTATAAACGATTCTTTAATATTAATCAGTTTCCTTGGCAGGGGTACCTTTTTGTGTCTTTGTTGGCGTTTGAGAAGTGGGTCACRTAACTCAGCTTGGCTGTGATATTGCGAAGATAATCAAGTCAASAACGTTATGTAATCATCGCACTGACATTGATCCGAATTTTTTAACTTATTTTCTTGCTAGAAACATAGTCTTACATGTAGTGKACATAATTATAGTTCTAGTAATGCAATTTAAATTGGAAAGCCAAGTCTTCGATGTTGATATTTGTGAGTGAAGATGCCCCAGGTTTTTTATCTCATTTAATATTTTCAGAAAAGCCATTACAATAACAAAGTGAAAATTCAAGCTTTTTTTTAAACTTGATTGTTGTGTCTTTTTGTCTCTAAAGCAAGTTTCTTATCCAACTAGGCACTTCAATCAAACTACATGATATTGATCAAATAATGCTGCCGTATATCATGCAGTGAAATTGAAATTAAAATAATCAAATAATCAAACTTTATTAATTATAAGTTCTGACTCGRGACTTTTTCGCGATTTGTCGATACTTGATCACCGTGGATTGCCGAGGAGAAAAACTGCTTGCCGTTAAGATTTTCTGCGGTTGAAATGGAATCGATACAAAGACGATGCAAAGCTTAACATTCAATAACATTCATAATTTACTATATTATACTCTGGTTCAAAAAATATACGATTATTTAAGATAAAGTCCTACGGGSAATTGTACTTCAAGCTTCGCATTTGTCTTAAACCTTTTAAAGCATCATTTGCAGGTAACCTTACATTTTTATGATTACTTTAATTGCTTGATTACAAACAAACTTTGTGTTATAMTAAGACAAGTTTATGTATGTTGAAAACTTGGTAGCATTTTTAATGAAATGTCAAGAATAAGATTAAACCGTGTGCAAATGAAAATGAAGAAGAAAGGTAAAAGCTTTTCCTTACGAGGAATCAAAAGTTGAGTTGACTTCAAATATTTTTCGTCCGTCAGTTTCAAGGTCGAATCTTACAATATCTTCATTCATATACCAAAAAGGAATAATAAAGAGTTTGCTTGTATTACGATGTATTTTAATTTTAAAACAAAAAGTTCGGAAGGGATGTCGGAGAACCATGGCCGGCTTGATATGAAAGGACATTAATCTGTTGTCCACACAATAAAGCTCTCACTGTAAACGTTCTTTACACTTTTCTTGTGTTCTCCAAACATCCCAAGTGTTTTTATCATAGAGTTATTTTAGTTGTCTTCAAAGATGCAATGAAATTGTACGCACGCTTCTTTCAGTTTCTGTTCAGTTGTCAATTAAACGTTTTTCCAAAAAGAAACCTTTTTTCAATGTGTCGCGACCTTTAAATGAATAAAACATAAACAATTTCATATTTAGATATGGAACGCAACAGCAAAATCGAAATAGAATCTATCGGAGAAGACGACGGTGTCATCAAGAATCCAGTCAGCGGTTATGCTCAAGATTATAAGCTCTGCGACCCCAGAACACTCAAAGAAACATTGAAGGCACTGTTGTTATCGATGAGGATTATGGGAACGCTGTATGGTGATGCATTTCAAGCGAGCTGTGCAAGGTCAAATCCCGTAGGATGTTACGATGGAAGTTTGGACGATAAAATCGAACATCAAGCAAACAAAAAGAAGCACCGTCTGAAGTCATTCATGAACACTTTCGGGTTTTATTACAGTGTATTCGTTGGTGTCGCGCTGCTTCTGATWGTTGTTCATGGAGTGTATGAGGTTTCTGAAACTCATGAAACCATAGACATAATGACACGGACGTTTCTTTTCAGTTGGGTAATTCTGTGTGCTAGCCAGCAYATWATGTGTGTCTACATCACTTCATATCGCTCCAAGAAAAACCCAAGTAACAGATTTGACAAGTTTGCCAAAGCCATGATGTTAGTAAGAGAGGAAAGCGTCCTTAAGACCAAACATTGTGTGATAGAAAGTCTCAAATATGGCTGGTTCTATATGTCGATCAATGCCTTAGTGTTCTGGGTAGGAGCTTCCTTTCGTAATGAACACATACTTGGAGTATTTATAGGAAAGTCAAAGTGGTCACGTGACCATTATGATCAACTCATTTATCCCTATACGCTTGCGGTGCCACCTTTGATTGGTGCATGGGCAATTCCAGCGTGTTTTTAYATCTCTCTGTGCCTTGTGGTCGGTGGTTGTTTCGACGACCTTTTTGACAGAGCTTCCTGCGCGATCTTGGATCAAAAGAAAAGAATCAATCTGGAAA